AGGTGGAGGCAGAGAGCCGCGGCGGAGCCGGAGCGACTGAGGACCAAGGTGGAGCTGGCGGGAGGAAGGAGACCAATAGAGCCGGTGGTACAGAGCAACAAGGTGGAGCCAGAGGAGCGGAGTCCTGATGCGATGGAGATGGCCGGTGGAGCTGGTGGATCGACGGGTGATGGTGGAGGCGAGGGAGCTAGGAGCTGAGGTGGAGCCGCTGTGTCTACGGGCCGAGGAGCGGACACTTGAGGGCGCTTTCTAGGAGCGGGCACTGGAGGGTGCTCTGGACTGGATTCGGGGACTGGAGCCCTCTACTCTTCTGTGGGGCACATTCGCCGTGCCATATTCAGCTCACTCTCAGCCTCAGTGCAGGGGGTGGAGCTCCTCTCCGCATTCACACGGTCCGCAGCTTTCTCCCTCATGATGGGTTCAGCTCTACGTCCGGGGCGATCCTCTGCTCACTCGCTCGGCTTTGCGCTGGCTCGCTGATCGCGGCGGGAAATGGCTCTCCTTCTACGGTGGGCTTGGGCTGATGCTCTGCATCGCGGGGAGATGGTGGGCTGGGCTCTGGGTCTGAAGTGGATCTGACGAGATCATCCACGGGGCTGGATGGTGATCCGTTTCTCGCCAGAGTCCACTCCACGAAGGCAGCGAATTCCGCTCGAAGACCATCTTCGGACGACGGCGCTCTGCACGCAGTGTTCAGGTTAGCGTCATAGAAGCGAGTCGTCCGGGTAGCTGGTAAGTTCGGCGAGGGCCAGAAACAGTCTGGTATGATCCATAGAAACAACGGGAACAAAAGAAAACACTGGAGGGAACACACGGAGGTAACTGTACTTGGTCAGGTCTTTTGTCACGTCACGCTGTTGAGGGAACACACTGGAGTCATGAGGAAACGTTTAACAGTCTTTAGTAACGAAACACAGGAGATAATCCACAATAGGAGCTTGAGCCAACACACGTAGAGAATGAGAAGAACCGACAAATACAAACTGAACAGACTGGGGCTTATAAGGACTGGATAACGAGGGACAGACAGGTGCGGGGAATCAATTAATAATCAAACTAAACAAGGACAGGAACAAGACCAAATAAGGCAACACAGGAAGGACCACGGGGGCAAAACAGGTCCAAAAGTCTGACAAATACATTACACTCTACAATAATCGAGTTCTTCCTATCTCTTGTTTAACAGGAAATTATGCTATTTCAGTGACAGCAACAGTCACATCCTCTCCTCATATGTACATAGTCTAAGTCTGTGGTTTAAGGTTTGATAGTGACATAAACAAGGCCAAAAATCATCAGCTGTTTTATAAATAAAATTAAAATAGTGAGACCTACTGTATACCACTAATCGAAACATTGACTTTGCAACTTAGTTCAAGCAATAACTGAACATGAGATATATTTTAGTTTCTTTAAATGAGCCAATTGATAAATTGTAGAGTGTAAATATCTATTCAAATGTGGCAAATAAAATGTTTGTGAAACAGTACATGCGTGTTTCATAGCTATCCTGATTCACTACTTTGTGGAAGATTTGTCAAAAGATGTGTAGTTTGAATTATTTATATATTTTGTTTTTTGTATTTTTTTTTTTCAAGTTGGCACTCCTGAATGAATAATTATTTCTAAGCCATTTCTTACAATCAAAATGATGCTTGCACAGAAACTTTTTTTTGTCTGCCTGTGTTTTCTGCATAAATACGAATACGATTTTGTTAGGTCATGTTGTATTGCAGGGTAAAATTACTCATTATGTCTCTGTCCTAGGTGCTGAAATTACAAATTTGTGTCCCATAAACTTCTGACTTTAATGACGTTAAGGCCTAAACAAAAGCACACAGCACTGGTTCTCGTGGTTAATGAATGAATGTATGAAATGTATGAGGACAAGAGAGAGATGTATTTTTAATAATAATTTAAAAACTAATAAAAATGTATCATGTCCACTGCTACTACACTCTTAAAAGTAAAGGTGCTTCACGATACCATAGAAGAACCTTTTTGTCTAAATGGTTCCATAAAGAACCTTTAACATCTGAAGAACCTTTCTGTTTGACAAAAGGTTCTTTGTGGCGAAAGAAGGTTCTTCAGATTACAAAAAGGTAAGAGAGAGATGGTTCTTTAAAGAACTTTTGACTGAATGGTTCTTTGTGGAACCAGAAATGGTTCTTCTATGGCATCGCTTGAAGAACCTTTTGAAGCACCTTTATTTTTAAGAGTGTACACCAAAGAAATTGTCTGCTACATCAGGCCAATATTGTTGTATTTTGTTGTTGTTGTTATTACATAGAACAGAGAAGAGTTTTCATGATACAAACCAAATAATCAAGCATTAACCACATATGTATATATACAGATGCCAAACTTTGTTATATTTATTATATGTAGTTTATCAGATGACAGAGAGCAGAGAGAGTTCATTTTTGTATGTCTTTAGTAAATGAAAGGATAGCTGGGTTTTAACATGTTGTGGTTTCGATGCAGCAAGAGGTGTGAAAACAGAAAGTGAAAACTACAGTGACATACTCACTAACACTCAGATCTGACCCATCCACCAACGTTAATATGTAACAATAACAGCAATGTCATATTCTCTTAACTTCAAAAAGCAGACTTTGTAAAAAAACAAAAATTATATTCTTGATAGTCTTGCAGCCTTTGTTTGTGATTTTCAGTAAATCTGCTGATATTGACTTTTTAAACATTAACAAATATGTATCATGTACCGAGATAGAAGGAAACATGGTATAGACAGTTTATTGATCCACCTCTATTACTTATCTGGTGTGAAAGATTTTTTTTTTTTTTTCAGGGAATTTAAAATACAAGGGTCATTTTGGAAGGTCAATGATCATGAGATATTTTATTATTTTGTTCTCCTCAACAGTAGGTAAACATATTTGAATCTCTCTTTTTTTCAATTCAACAGAACTTTGTCTATTGATCACTAAATGTATGCCTTCCTCATTTTGCAGTCTGCTTCTCTGCTGTGGATGTTGTTCAGGAGGATAATGTAAAAATAGTTGAAGCTGGAGAGAATGTGGACCTTACTTGCAGCTTTTCAAAGCTTCTGCAAACAACAAAACAGACGGTTGATGGAAAATCCTTACAAATTGTGTCTTTATATTTAAATCAACAACCCAGTTGGAATGAGGACTTTGAGAAAGCAAATCGTTTTAATGTTATTAAAGGAGATGATCACTTTAATCTGATCATTTTAAAGTCAAAGCCTTCAGACTCAGCAACATATTTCTGTGTAGTCTCATCATATAATATCATTGGAATGGGTGCAGGCACTAGATCACTTGTCAGAGGTAAGTTTTACTGCTTGTTATTTTAGCTTTGTTTGATTTGTGTTGTCTGTTTTTTGTTTTTTTTTGGTCCTTACCATTTTGTCCCTCTTGTGTCGCCTTTCAAGATGCAGCTGTGGACAGACACACAACTCTTCAACAGTCTTTGACAGACACGCTTCATCCAGGGGATTCTGGGAGTTTGCAGTGCAGCATTTTCACTGAGAGCTGTGCAGGAGAACACAGTGTCTACTGGTTCAGACAAAGCTCAGGAGAATCTCAAGGAGTCCTTTACACCAAAGGAGAGAGAAATGGTCAGCGTGAGAACAGCACAGAGTCTCAAATGCAGAGCTCGGTCTTTGTCAGTATCATGGACTGTCTGTGTCATGTTTTGCCCCTGTTTCTGTTCCCTTATTTGGTCATGTTCCTGTCCTCATTTTGTTAATTAGTTTGATTAGTCATCCCATACACCTGTGTTTCCCCAATCATCCCCTGTATTTAAGTCCTAGTCTGTGCAGTCTGCCTCTGTTGGTTCTACTTGTTATGTTCATGTGTTTCCTGCCATTCCCAGTGTTGGATGTACCTTGTGTTTCTTGGATTAAAGACGGTTTCGTTTATTCCTCGTCTCCATCGTTCCTCGCCATCACAGATTGTGACAGAATAAACGACCAAAAAACAGTTACCTCCGTGTGTTCCCTGAGGTGTTTGGTTTCCATAGTGTTCCTCCATGTATCCCCTCCTTCGTCCAGAATATCTTTTCCTCCTGCTGGAGCAGGGGGAGAGATCGCTCGAGGGCCACACCAGACTATTTCTGCTGCTCACCAACCTCTCCAGCTACTTGGACGACGCCAGTTTAAACTCCGCGTACAGAGCGCTGTCATCCGAGGAAGGCCCTAGAGCGAATTTCGCCGCATTTGTGGAGTGGACACTGGTGAGACACGGATCCCCGGTCACCTCTGTCCCGAGGGGGATCTCGCCGGTGCCACTCCGGACCCAGAGCCCAACCCACCATCTCCCCGCTGTGCGGAGCTAAAGCCCGAGCCCACCGATGACGGAGAGCCAGTTCCCGCCACGATCTACGAGCCAGCGCAATGTCGAGCGACTGAGCGGAGGATCACCCCGGAAGTAGAGCCCAAGCCATCAGACCAGGTGCGAGAGCCGGCGACAATGCCCGCCACGAGGGAGAAAGCAGTTACCTCCGCCCCTGCACTGCGGCTGAGGGTGAGCTGAGTATGGTGTGGCGAAAGTGCCAAAGCGAAGAGGAGAGGACTCCAGTCCCCGAATCCAGTCCAGAGCGCCCTCCAGTGCCCGCTCCTAGAAAGCGCCCTCCAGTGCCAGCTCCTCCTGAGCGCCATCCTGTTCCCGTGTTCAGCCTAGAGGGGGCTTCAGATCCAGAGTTACACCCTGAATGCCCGGACAATCACAAATGCCTGCCCTCCAACCCGCTCCTGCCTCCTCCACCGCTGTCATCTGGCAGCCCCTCTGCTCGCCCTCAGCCCACCATCATTATGGTGCGAGCTCCGTGGGTCTGCCATCCTCCAGCGTCGCCATAGCTGGAGAATCCCTCACCTCCGCCTCCAGCCTCCGAGGCCCGGACTCCGCCTTGGCCCGTAGACCCAGCAGCTCCACCTCGGCTCCTAGCTCCCTCACATCCATCGTCATCCATCGATCCACCAGCTCCACCGGGCTCCCTCGTCCCTACGGCTCCGCCTTGGTCGGGCATCGACCCGCCATCACCTCAGGACTCCACTTCTCCGGCTGCACCTTGTTGCTCCGTCCCACTGCCAGCTCCACCTTGGTCCTCAGTCGCTCCGGCTCCGCCACGGATCTTTTTATTCAAATATTAGGAGAAATAATATCAATTAACTGATTTAGTATTAGCACTCCGAATTATGTCTTGAATTGTTGGTCATTTCAGAGAGTGATGATGTGAATCCAATACTGCTTGTTCTTGGAGTTTTAAACATCATATGTTTGACTTTAGCTGTTCTTCTGGCTATAAAACTGTCAGGATCCAAATAAAAGTAAGGTTTCTTTTTGCCACACAAACTGATAACACGTACATTTATATAAACTTTGGACCACAAAACCAGTCATAAGGGTCAATTTTTTCAAAATTGAGATACATCATCTCAAAGGTGAACACATAAGCTTTCCATTGATGTATGGTTTGTTAGGATAGGACAATATTTGGCCATGATACAACTATTTGACTATCTGGAATCTGAGGGTGCAAAAAAATCTAAATATTGACAAAATTGCAAATGAAGTCCTTAGCGTAGCAGTCACATAGGTCTGAAGGACCCTAAATCACAATTAGTTTCATCCGACTTCTCCACCTTGGTGGAGTGCCAGGGAAATACTCCCCATAAGGACACACAGGTAAGTTTTACCAATTGAGGGCAAAAAAATAAGAATGAAATGAGACGTGGGTACCAATACAAAAGATATTTTATTATAAAAATGTCAACAATAAAATGCTCTCTCCCATAAAGCACACCACAAGTAAGAATTACGTATAAGGATACTTCTCAGGGCCAGGCTTAGCAGAAACAAGGCAGGCCGGGTGCAGCTCAGGAGGTCACCCAAACCCACCCAAATTCACACCAAATGAGGCACTACGCACACACCGCAAGGAAGTTGTGTTGACACACCCCACACTCTGTTAAGCACACGCCTGAACAAATGCAGCTAACCTCCCCTGTTCCACACCATGCCTGTCACATACACACTGGGAGAGCAGGAAATGAACTAATTCATCAAAGCACAGCTGGAGACGAATACACACAATGAGTACAGGAAAAGGAAGGACCAAATAAGGGCAAGGAAGGCACATGAGGAGCAAAACACACTCAAAACATGGACCAGAGTCTGACAACGCCCTCACCGGCTCCTGAAGGAAAACAAAGAAAACAACACACTCAAACGCACAGGATTACAAATGAAGTTCACACAATTTACACTAAATAATAAACAAAACAACCAATGTAAGGTTTACACACACAATGATGTGTGGTGGCTATAACATTCAGGCCTCCTAGCGACATCATGTATAACACAATAGATAAACCGTGCCAAAATGGCACCGAAAGCAGACAAGAATGAAGTGAGAATCAAACACTTTATGATAATACAAGATCATACATTAGGCCAAAAGAAAGAAATAAAAGTAGAAAAAAATAAAACCACAAAGTCCAAAATTAACAACACAACAAAAAAGAACTTAACTACATAAATAACATAGCACTATTGCAAAAAAAAAAAAAATCTTGAAAAGCAACAATCCAGCACAGTGTAAACAAAAATTAAAAACAAAAAGACTATATTTGAAAGCAATCAAAATTAAACTAATAAAGAGCCTGAAGTGTGCGAAGCTCATTGCTACCCGCCCACACGACTCGCCAAGTAGCAAAAGAGCATAAACGCCCATAAGCAAAACAGCAGCAGCGTCACATGTAGCGTCTTCAACAAGGGATAGGCTTTAATTTTCAAGTGATCCTGAAGACCTTAATTGGTTGCTTCAGGTGTGTTTGATTAGGGTTGGAGCTGAACCTTGCAGGACAGTCAATCGCCAGGAGCATGATTGGGCACCCCTGGCTTGGAGATTGTGATATTCCATTCCCCCTTTACATTTAACAAAAAGACCAAAGCATTAAGCTAAATCTACTAAACTCCATTGAGAGGAAGGGAAAGGCATACTTACGATTTGGGTCAAACAACACCAAACGCAGAGCTGTAGGACTACTCACAGCAGGTGCCTTGGCTCAGTCTACTGGCCAGCATTCACACACCCACTATTGTCGCTATTACTAAGAGCAACACACAATAAATACCACCACCCCAAGTGATCAAAAGATTCAATACAAAAACGGAACATACCTGCAAGCGAACTCCGCCACAGACTTGCCGCAATGCAGACCAGCCGCACTCTAATCAAACTATAAATAGCGTATATTAGCCTCGAGCCATTCACATCAGTACACTGTCGGCAGAGTCTCAACATACATGCACACCAACAGGAACAGAAACGTTTTTTGTTTTTTTTTCAAATCAGCATCCCGACGATGACCCAACGACACATACTTGAGGACTATTCCTGTCCTGCACCCCATGGCCTAAACCAGACGGAGTTCCAATTAGAAATAGGGCCTGGTATTGTGGCAGCTCTCGTGCCTCCCTCAACAGCCCGTGGTAGACGGTGCAGATTCGAATGGTGTCCCACCCAGTCCTCCTCAAGGGGACACCAGCCATACATAACTGACCCTCCGGCAAACTAGCAGGCCCCGGGGATACACCTGATACAAAATCAGGAACCTCAAAGTCCCCTACCACTGGGGTCTCCCCATCGGACACTACCAGCCTAACCTGTGAGGTAGAAGCGCCCAGGGAAACTGGCACCGAAGAGACTGGCCCCCAACTTACCGGAGGGGTTGCTGGCACCAACATAAGCAGATCGACCTCTTCGGATGAAACGTCGGCTGAAGCCACTTCTTTCTCCGAAACAGGGGGATACATCGAGGCTGGAACTGGACCATCCTTCCAGATCAGAGCCTTCAAAGCCGATCAATGGACACATCTAACCATTCCCAAATCATCCACTGGTGCAATGGTATACACTGCCCCACCCTCCTTTGGGGCCTTTACCACCTGATACACCACTGGGCTCCACAGGTCCTGAATCTTGTGACAACTTCTAACACCATACTCACGTAAATAAACTAATTGGCCATAACCCAGTGGTGCATCACGGACGTGGGTGTCATGTTGCGCCTTACGGCGATCAGCAGCAGCTTCCAGTCATACCCGGGCCCCCTCAAAAGCCACCTGAAGCCCAGCCTGATGTTCCCTCATCCACTCATGCAGTCCACCAGGAGTCTTGGCTCTCGCCCGAACATTAAAAAGTATGGGGATTCACCCGTCGCCTGATGAGGGGTAGTGTTGTAGCAAAACAACACTTGTGGGAGGCATGAGGCCCAATCCACTTTCCTGGACACAGGCAGAGCACGCAAGAGGTTATGCAATGTCCTATTAAAGCACTCGCACTGCCCATTCCCCGCCGGATGGTAAGGAGTAGTGCGAGACTTTTCCACCTTATACAGTGCGCAAAGCTGCGGTACCAATGAGGACTCAAAATTACGCCCTGCTCAGAATGAATCCGTTTTCGGCTACCGTTTCCGCCCATTGATCTCGGGTGGGCACAGACAAGGTATACTTTGTAAAAACGTCTGTCATAACCAGCACGTTCTCCAGTCCTGAACGAGTTGGCTCTAACATGGTAAAGTCTAGGGCCAATATTTTGTTCGGCCTTGAGGACAAAATGTGGCCCATGAAGCTATTAGGCAAAAGTTGTGTATCCTTGGCAGCCTGGCACCTTTCACACTCTCGACACCATTGTGCCACATCAGATGTCAGGCCCGGCCAAAAGCAACGCTGCCGCACCAACTCAGTTCCACTCCTTGGTGCCCATGCTCCTGATGTAACTGCGTCAGTACTTCATGATGCAATAGTGATGGTAACACTACTTGCAGCACCTCTTCTCCCCCATCCGAGCGAAACACTCGGCGGTGCAATACTCCATCCTGCTCACACGACTGGCTCCATTGGCGAAACAGATTCCCCGCCACCTTGGACAGTTGCCAACACTCTTCGAAGCTAGGAGGAACCCCACACCTCCAAAACCTTAACACCTCACCTATAACAGGGTCCTCCTCCTGCAATGACTGCATTTCCACAGCCAGACTTGGCAGCACTGTAACTGCTGCTTGAGAACCCACCCCGGTCTCTCCAGCCTGCCTTACCATAGCTGGAAGCGCTGTGCCGGGCTGTACTTTTTCCAGCTCACCATGACTGGATGGACCCTTTTGGGAGAGGGCATCTGCATTCCGGTTGCTCCTTCCAGAGCGATACCTTAGCTCAAAATCAAAGGCAGACAATTGCACCACCCACCGTTGCTCTGTGGCCCCCAGCTTGGCAGTGGCCAGGTGGCTGAGGGGATTATTATTAGGGGTGGGAGAAAAAACTGATTCTCCGATGCATCGCGATTCTCTCTTCAACGATCCTGAATCGATTCTGAGCATGTTTTTTGAGCACGCAGCGGGCTTCATTGCACAGAATATGCTCTGTGAGACACGTGCGCATTGCTTGACAATGTGTGCTTCCACCCGCCATTATTTCAGTATTTTACTTTAGATATGCTTTCATTTATGCCATTTGGAATGCAGTACGTATAAGATGCACGAAACTCACATACTGACAGACTTTCACGTGTGCTTTGTATTTGATGTCCTGAAGCTTGATCGCGGCTGCGGTTAAATGCACTTGCATCTCCGAATACTTTTAAACGAAATTGATGTAAACAGAGTCAGTTATGTTTTCAGAACAGGACAAAACATCTGATATATCGAAATAGAAATGTGCATTAGGGTGAATGCAGCCTGTTAAAGCTGCCACTGTCTGTGATCTCATCAGTAATAATCAAACAGCAATAATGCTGAGGAAAAAAGAAAAACCCATATCTATGATTGTCTGTAAACTTTTGGATAGCCTACTTAAAGAACACTTATTTTTAAAATAAGTAAATATTTTAAAAAGTTCCCTGCTAATATAATTTAATTTTTAAAAATTAAGTAAACTTTGCACAAAATAAATTTGATATAAAATTGAAATGAAAACGTAGCCATGTGCAGTAATATTGAAAATTGAGAATGTGACACATCGTGATATTGAGTTGAATCGAATCGTTGACATGATAATCGTAATTGAATTGAATCGTGAAACCAGTGAAGATTCACACCCCTATTTTTAAGATGGCAGTACTGACTTACAGAGATTCCAACTATAAACAAAAAGCATAGAAACTGAAATTTTGGTTAAAATGTAAAGTTGTAAAGATGTATTTGCACAGCAGAAGAATTAATTAGGAAAAAATGTAGA